AGCAATGTAGCTCCCAGTTACTAGGTAACATGAACCCCAGAAACGCAGCTGCCAGGATGAATAAGGTTTTGACTCTAACCCCTAAACCCTAAATAGTAGTTTCCACGTTCTTTTCCCGTATCCCTTAATATAACCCCTAGTATAAACCTTATATGCTACCCCTATATAACCCTACCCTAAACCCTGGGTTTAAGGGTTTAGTTTTGCTAGGATGAAGCCTGGATTACTTGTCAAGGTTCCGGACATCATGGTCGGCATTGGAAGAGATGATGCGCAAGGGTTGAAAAGGGGTGTAGGGATGTCAAGGCATGTTTTACGGTATATAACCTAAAATAGACAAATATCCCTGTATAATAAAAGACTAGGTGTGTAAATCTGTATACATGGAAAGAGAGAGGCAGGGCTTCAAAAAACTTAGGGCGCCTCATTGGCGGGTGGGTCCCTGTCAGTAAAATATCTTGGTAACGGTGATAATCCATGTTTGAAAGCCCCTACTTGGGTGGAATCGGAAGGTCACTCTGGGGATGCAGAATCCTAAATCCTAAGCCCGTACTGTTAACCCAAGGGACTCCTTTCCAAGACCCTTCAGAACTCACATGCCGCGTTCACTGCAAAATGGAGCTCCTTCAGGATCCCTATACACGGCACCCTATACTCCAAACCCCCCAGTGCCCTAAAGGCCCTGCACCCTAAACCTTCCCAAACCCTAAACAACTCGATGTACATAATGGTTTTCATTTATTGTTCTTCTCCATGTGATTCTTGTTCAATTTGGGGGACTATAACCCTTGACAACCCTATACAATCTGGATATAGTCCTATGAATATGGGTTGTTCTCAAAATTATGGGCACCTTTAAGTTATAGATTCTTTTACGGCAACTAATGTTTCGAGGTACGAGTACCGAAATGGGATTCTAATTTGATGAACTCCCCATAGCATAGTTACCATCCCATGTTCCATTCAACCCTGAACCCTAAACCCTAATCCCTAAATCCTAAACCCTAAACCCTACACCCTAAACCCTAAACCCAGCCCCGGCCTCATCAGTGCTGTAGAGGAGAGGCAGGGATGCGGCCTGCCTCGGTCCCAAGGGCTCGGGTTTAGGCTTTAAGGTTATATGGGGGGCTTAGGGTTTAGGGTTTTAGGGTTTAGGGTTTAGGGTTTAAGGTTATATGGGGGGTTATATTGGGATAATGAAAAAGATGGAAACTATAGGGATTATAGGGATTATATTGGGGTTATGTTGGGATTATATTGGGGTTATATTGGGATAATGGAAACGAAAATGGACACTACTATAATACTATAATGGGTTTTATATACATATATATATATACAGGGTTGTTTTTAAGCGCTCCTTTTGATCCTCTGCAGGAACAAAGGCCAATTTGGCCGAGCGAGCCTCAGCTTAACTCAGCACTAAAGACAGGGTTTAGGGTTTAGGGTTCAGGCTGTATAGGGTGTGGGGTTCCGGGTTTGGGGTGTAGGTTTAGGGCTCAGAGTTTAGTGTGCAGGGTTTAGGGTAAGCCGAAGGAAAAAATGGAAAAATGATTGAAAGAAAATTGGAAAGACTGACTTGCAACGTATACACGGCTAGATCAAGATTATGGAGGGATATCTTTACCCCAAGAATGGACAATCTAAGGGAAAACAAACTGGAAAATTAAATGGAAGAGGGATATACATCGGGCTTCTTGGTTTGCAGTTAGAATACTGGAGACTCAAATGGGAAATAAATGGAAACCTCAGGTCCCTTTAGCTGACTATACAAGGCTTAGGGTGAAGGGGTTAGGAAACAGCATAACTACTACTAGCCCTTAACTGTTGCAATTAAAGGACTGGGCGAACTTGGGGTAGCGCAGGGTTTCTTCCCATCAACAGTACCGGAGGATCGGGGACATGTGGGCATTTCAAAAGGATCATGGAGGGTCTAGCAAAAGGATTCTATCGGGGGGCTAAGTTGGAAAAACACAAATTTTGGGGTGTCATGTCTAGCACCGAACTGCAGATCTTGGCGTACAAGATACGCTGATTTTTTAGCCGCCAATACCTATTTCAGGAGGGTAGCCCTTTATGAGAGGAGTCTATTGAGAAAGTGTATAAGAAGTTTGTGTGTGGGGGCTGCCGCATGTGCAGATTTCATTCAGCCCCAGAAGCTTTCTTCTTTACCAGGAATGCCGTCAGGGAAAAAATGATGGACCTGAGGTAAAATGTTGCGCGTCGGGGAGGTGAGCTGACGTTGAAATTGAAACGATTGCTGCGATCGTCCCACAGAGACTCCCCGTAGCATAATTTGCAAGGCCCCTTCATTGATTTCAGGCCCCCACAATGCTTAGCTCCCATTGTCACCCTCCCAGCAGAGAACGTAATGCAAAGGTGCACAACAAGCAGTGAGCAGTGCCTTTTTTGCTGGCTCTGTGGCGGAAAATTTGCATGGACGCGGTCTGGAGTAGTCAGCATGTCACGCGTGAAAACAAGTTTGCTGAAAGCATCATCGTCAGAAGCAAATCATGTAGGATTGGGCACGCCTTGAAACCCCCTCACTTAGCCTTCATATCCCGTCATAGTTCTCACCCCTCTTCTGCCTGGGGAACTCACTTTCACCACTGGGCGGTCGTGGCGACTATCTGCTTCTGCAGTCTCTTCGCAACTTTTTCCTAAGTACGAATGCACATTAAGATCCTTGGTACTCATGATTCACGTAATTAACCCTTCATAAACCCTAAACCGATCCACTGCGAGTCATAGCTCAGCGCATCTTGACGCCCTGCTTCTGGAAGAGCGCCTGGCCACCGAAGGAAGAGAAGCCCATCTCCATGGCATTCCACCTATGCGGTTTAGACTTTGTGTCTTCTTGGATGGTAGAGCAAGCATGGGGAGTTATCTTAATTGTCCCGAAATGCTAACATTCTTGTACTTGCACCCTAGACCAAATATAAATAAATGATTCCCAAGGAAACTACAGGTGGTGGTTTTCATAAATGGTGGGACCCCAGTATAGACCCCAAAAGACTATATTGCTTCTTGTACGGACTCCCAAAAGGGTACCCTTAATTTCAGGAAAGCCTCGAATAAGTTCAAAGGAGTGAGTCGGGCCAAGCTCAGTGCCTTTTTGGGGGTCGTACAAGCAAGAGTTACAGTATTTTGGGATCTATATTGGGTTCCCATATTTAGGGAAACTACTACCATCTAAGCGCGTGCTTTGGCTGCTCAGAAGGTTTCCAAATTCCTGATATTCAGCAAGTTCAGTGCCACAAACTGAGGTGTGGGCAAAACCAAGCTATCCGTTCAGTTTGCCTACCCCTAAACTTCGTAATTATTTGAGGCACCCCTTTCTCCCACATCTCTGTTGTCTGCTTGCTAGCCGAGACACTCCGTGGACTTCTTGACAAACATCCGAAGCAGAGTCATCTTCCGCTTCATCTCCTGCGTGAGTTTCACGGAGGATACTCTCGCAGAAGGATGATGTGAAGGCCATCCCGAGATTCGGCAGAAGTAAAGCAAATATTATGTATGAGAGGGGCTATGTAAGGGCTATACAAGACGACAGGGGAATCATGCCCGATTATTGTCAAAAAATGAGCCCTCTGTTGATGAGAAGTGGATACACACTGGAGTGAAGTGAGGCTGTGGGAATGCTTTTGCAATGTGCGGAGACAAAAAATGTTGAGCTGAAGGAGCATGTTATGAGACACTCCTGCTATCTTCGTCTATGTCAACATGTCTAGGAAACTCTCGGATACTATTTGATCATACTTGGGTTTTCCTTCCTACACCTGATTTCCAAAAAAGGAGGCCTTAACATAAAAGCAAATGTACTAGAGTCCATTATAAAACCCTCCAAAACAGCGGCCCTACGCGAACCCCAAGGTATGTTACCCTCCAAGCCTAAACCTCAAACTCCAAAACTCACACCACAAAGCCAAAACCTTAAACTCTTAACCCGCCTCGGCCGTGTAGCGCAGGTCAGGCACCCAGCAAGCTTTGAGCCCATAGGGGACTGCTGACCTCAGCCATTTGCTTCCCAATGATTATAACCTTATGCAGTCCTTCTTCTATCAACCACAATAACCACAGGACTGATAGTAGGCTCGTCCTGCTATGATTTTGAAAAGCATGTGTGAGCTCTCGTCTAAACTCTTAATCTCCCCTTTAATATCTTTTATAATACTCCCCTATATGATCCTCTATATCCGCCGACCCCAGCTTGATGGGGCGAGCGCGCAGTGAAGCCTTTCTTGCCCTGCGCTTTTCGGCGCACACCCACGCCCTCACCCCCTTTGCACCTAACCGCTCATCCCATCCACCTTCCTCACTACCCAATTTCCCCCAACCTGTCCAACCCCTCCCAAGCCCCCCCCTACCCCGCCCTCCCCCACCCTCCACCCCCGCCCATTGCGTGTTTTGGGGAGGTCTCCCGCTTATTCGCCTCCCCCTCCCATGAACTAGTTACAGTCTTGTTGCTTTTCTATGAATCCATGTACAATTCATGTATACACAGCTGTTTGTGCTATGCCGCATTGTCAAGGTTCTGGAGTAGCGAGTGGCGTGGTGAAAAGAGGACGCCCGCTCACCTGTCCTCTGTACACTGTAGTGAAGTAGTTCACGCTTGGAACAATCTCAACGTGGTACCAGATCTCCTTCCAGGGAGGGTCTGACCATTCGGAGGTACGCAAGTGCACCGAAGCGCAGAGGGCTCGAAAGGAAGAGCTCCCAGCATACCTTAAAAAAGCCATGGCAGATGGTTTTTACACCGACATGCGTGATGAAAACCTCTATCATGAGACGTATACCACGCAGGCAATGTCAACGTATGACATAACTCGGATGAGTCATTTTTCTCAGGAGACGACAAAAGTACCACATGCATTCGATTAGAAGACATCCTTGCTTCAGTATGAAGATGCTATACTATACTATAGACGACTGGACTCCTCAGCGTGTCACATGCAGAGTTGACCTTTGATCACAGGATGTCACTTACCAGCATAATGGCACATCGTGGCATGGATGGAGTTGAGTTGGACGCCGGTACCCTAAGAGATATGTTCATTGAAATGTTTTACAATCCAAGAATAGCAGTTGACAATCCGCTCCTTAACAATGCCGGCCATGGAGGACGAAGGAGCTTCATCGTGATAGACGAAGGAGAATTGGATGGCACCTTTGGTTTCTGGGCTGAAGATGAAGACGTTGGAGCGGAAGGCCTTCTAAACTCATATTAAGATGTTTTGTATACTTATGATGAGCAACATGAATCCTGGTGTCAGCGTGGCGTTGCTTTCAAGGCCGCCAATCGAGGAAAGGCAAGGGCAAAGGACGCTCAGGAAAAGACCGTCTCAGAGGTCGTGGCGGAAGGACATTCTTCACATCACGTCGCAAGAAGAAGGGTCACTATGAGGAGGAACATGGCCAAGAAGATTGGTATTGGCAAACTGAAGAAGCCTGGCGGTGGCAAGCAAATCTGCCTGGTGATGGTTGGGCAGCAGATTCATCGCAATCATGGGATCAGGAATCAGCCCATGAGCAAGTAGAGAGCTACAAGTCTAAAGGCAAAGGCAAGAAAGGTAAGAAAGGTAAAGATGGTAAGGACAAGAAAAGCAGTTCTAATATAGCTTCGTCGCAACTTGAGGCTCGAGCTGCGGTAGATGTCCCTGCTTTGCCTGCGTCTTTCCTTGCCATGCGTCATGTAGGAAGCCCGGTCCGCACTCGGGAACCGGAACCAAGGTGATCTACAACATCCAACCTACTATGCACCTCCTGAGGACAACGGCTGCAACACACGACCCGGACCCGAGGTTTCCCACACATCCCCTTGCATCCACCTTATTCTCCACAGAATCAGTAGCCCAGAATTGGGCGTAGCCGGAGTAACCTGTCTTGCATTTCTCCCAAAGGTACCACGGATTCGAAAATGCCATTCTAATGGAGGATAGGAACCTTGCATAAGCTTTCGATTCTTCGTCCTTGGCACGAAGGACACCATCTATCTCAGCATAGGCTGTGTCTGGCGGCGCCTTCTTCGCCGCTCGCGGTGTCGCAACGGGTGGTTCAGGAACGGGTTCCTCACACCAATCGAGCCGACGCTTCACAATGTTCAAGATACCTGCGCGGCACATCTGACACGGCGTACGATTACCACGCCATTGAGTGTGCGTCTCAATTGGAATCCTTCATCGAGAAAATGCGCCCAAACCAGGTCTTAGTAAAGAATGCCTGCGCCACTGCTGACGACGACACCACGCCTAGGGGGGGTTGACACCTCCAGCATACACACACTACGCACTCCAACACAACCTTGCTGACCCTCCATCATGCGAAAAGAAGGCCAATGTCTTGGATGGACTCATGGTTCCCATTCAAGGAAGGGTGAAAGATATGCCCCAGTGGCACCCAGGTTCAATTGTCTGGGCAACTTGCTGTGGCCTTGCATGTCCTTTGCCTAATATGAAACCCAAGATCCTAGGAAGTCTCAAAATTGGGGAAACTCTAAAGATAAACGGGCCTCATCGTTGCACATAGGTCCTGCCAAGCACTCCAAACGTTTTACTTGAGGGTAAAGCTTAAGATTGCTGCTAGGCCTGTTTAAGGCTTCGATTTGGCAAAAGGTAAATGTCAGGGTCCAACATGGCAGCGCGGCGACGCTGCTGAGTTTGGGAGTGACACTTCGACAGTTGGAAGGAGAGACTTCCTTTTACTGCACTTCTGGCCGTTCTTAGCTGCCTGATAGGTCGCAGCACACGTATTGATTGAGCGGTCAGAAATACATCCCACGGCTGCCATTTCCAACATGTATTCCCAGTAGTGATCACAAATGGGATGGTCCTCATGAGGTGTACGGAAATCTGAGGATACGTTGAGCCAAGCTTACTTGCCCTGCTAAGACTTCAGGGCAAACCAGTTCAATGCTGCGGGCACCAGGGTTTCCTGCCCCTGAGTAGGCCTTCCCTGGAGAACTTTGAGCAAGCGCGCGTCAACAAAGCTACCAGGAGGCTTGAGTGTTTGACAGTGGCTGCAGAAACGCAGGCAAAAAATCATTAAAAGAAAATGAAGACCATCCTGGGTGAGAAAGATCAGCTCCGTACACATTGGCGTAGTCTGCCAAAGAAAGCTAGAGCTCTCCTAACATGAAGCAAGCAAATCTCTCTACATACTTCAGGAAGAAGATTCACTCCTGTTGTAAGCCAGGTCAATGAAAACTCCCTGTGTTCCATCAGAGATATGAAGGCAGGAGAAGAGTCAGTTTTTCATATTTCCGCTCATGACAGAATCAACAAGATTCTTACAAGCAGCGCTGGCCTTAGCCAAACAATCAGCAAAACAGCGTTCAGCGCGGACATGTGACAAGCCTGCAATAGCACCTGAACAAGCTTCCGCCCAAAGCATTAGCCATGTGAATGGTCTCTGCTGTTCAGGGACACGCATGGTAGAAGCTGTAGTGACAATGTTGTTATCATGCGCACGAATGTGGACATTAGCAACTGAACCTGAAATGTCCTTCCACAAACCTCTCAACATCTGACACGTACCTAACACTTCGTCAACACATACAACTCAGCAACAGTGGCACTCAAGGTAGTCCGCTTGATTGGTGCGAAGAAAACAAGCGAGCCGCAGGCGTCACGACTTCCTTTTTGACGCTGCCTTACGCCGAAAAGCGGCATCTGGAACTCTGAAGATTCGTGGATCGGTCTTCAACAGCCAAAAACGAAGCTCGACGGATTCATTCTTGATTCGGCGACACAGGCTACGCAGCGCCCAGCCCAACAGTCTCCTATAGTCGGCGCAGTAGAAGCTGAAGCACAACGGGAAAATTGGAAACAGGCTTGACACTGAATCCTAGACTGCAACGAATTGGTACTACTTAGCAGGGACCTCAAGGCCAAGTCTTTGAACCTGCGCGGGATAGAGATCTCTTCCTCTACATGGAGTTTTGGGTGACACCAATGCGCTTCTTCCTGATTTTCTCATCAAACACCCAAGCAACTCTTTGCTGAAGCCACGACCAAAAAAACCGACCCCTCCACAACTAGAACTAGTCAATCCCCGACAAGAAAATCAAGCTCCCCGACTTCTGGCGCCAGTCTTGCTAGCGCGTAGAGCAACTTGCCTCTGTAGCTTCACAACCTGACATGCCCAGACAATCTCTATTCGACACTCCTGCCGCCTACCTACACATAGCCAGGTCGGCTTGGCCTCAAAGAACATACTCAGCGCAGACTACCATATCTCATGTAACAGCTAAGCTACCAGACCTTTTCAAACGACGGTGGTTTTGCAATGTTCTTTAAAACTTTCTGGCCTAAATCTACTGACGTTTGAAATGCACTGGGCTTGTCTTCAAGCAACATTTGCAGATATCACTTGTTGTTTGTGCTTCCAAGGCTTGAATCCTGACATGCCCCAGTTCCCATTTCGTGATTTGCAAGGGTTCTATTTCTTTCTCGCCCAAATCTCCTGACGTTTGAAATGCGCTGGGCTTGTTTTAAAGCAACATCTGCAAATACCACAGGTTGCTACCCTTAAAGCACTCTTGAAGCACCTTAAAAATCACTGAAGCACCCTTAAAAAACCACCTCCAAACCTTGAACCACCCTCAAGCCACCTTTAAAACACCCTCAAAACACCCGAAAAGCATGTTTAACAACACTTTCAAGCACCTTTAAAACGCGTTTAGAACACCCTCAAAGCACACCTTTCAAGCACCTTTAAACACCCTCAACAGCCACTAAAACACCCGCAGAGCACCACCCTCAAGCCGCACTTAAACCACCAGTTATCCACCCAAAAAAACACCTATCAAGTATCAAGTGTTCTGAAAGCACCTTCAAAACACCCTCAAAATCCACTAAGACACCCTTGAAGCACCCTTTCCGCCCTCAAGCCGCCCTTAAACCATCAGTCATCAAAGCACCCTTACGACACCCTTAAAACACCCTTAAAAACCTTTACAACACCCTGAAACACACTTACTCAAGCACATTTACAACACCCTTGATACACCTTTA